TGACGATAAAAACTGAAAATTAAAGATACACAAACCTGATTTAGAGCCCACTCTGATACCAAACTGATACGAACCACGCCAACTTGTGACGAAACCTGTAAACAAGACAAGGCACCAAGACTGTTTCTAAGACAAGTTCGAGAGGATGGAACTACGACCCGTTACCTATGATGAGGTAAGAACCTTGGTATGGAGAAGACGCCACAATCAACTATGGAAGGGTTGATTGATAAAACGCCACGGATAATTCTGATAAGTTCAAAAAGTTGTTCAAAGAACTAGAGAGAATTCGTTCTCACAATATTGATGAATAATTGTCTGTTTTACAATTTGGGTTGCAGCCCTATAATAGCTAAAACTAATCCTAACCAGAATAGGAAACTAACAAACCAAGTCCTAACCCTAATAACCACGAATTTGGGCTTCAACTAAATGAATGTTTAGCCTAGATAACACAGCAAACATAAAAATAAGCTAAAATAACCTAAGAATATTGTGAAATATTAGTTTGCGGCCAATTGCGGTAGATTTGACCCAAACTGTGTAATTCAACCCAAGAGAGAAAAACTTGGCACGCAAGCCAAAACCCAAAAGGGAAAGTAATAAGTTTGAGCCATAATGTTTGCTGAGTTCATGCCCAAAGTTCATGACCATTACTTGCAAAGATTAGGCTTGGCTTTGACAGAGTCCTCTAGAACTTGGATTATTCTGATGTAATTCTGAGGTTCACATGGACTTCCCTCAATGGGCCTCCACGAATTTGCTTGAGTCCATATTTCTCGAATCAGCCTGTTAAGCACTTCCTTGAACTTCTTAGCTCGAGCCCTCATAACTGGTCCAATGGGAGCTTGAATTGAATCCTTTAAAGTCAAACCTGGATTTACATCAAGCTCCATACTTCACCTATACTTGTGGGACTCGGCCATTCTTGAATTGCTTGGACTTTTTCTTCATCAACCTATATTCCTTGTGCTCTAACAACAAAACCAAGAAATACGAGCCTATCAGTGCAAAAAGTGCATTTCTTCAAGTTAGCAAATAACTTTTCCTTTCTAAGCACATCCAAAACTGATTTTAAACCCACAACATGTTCCTCCAAGTTTTTGCTATAAATGAGAATGTCATCAAAATCAACAACAGACCAGCCTATGAATGCACACAAAATATGATTCATCAATCTCATAAATGTGCTTGGTGCACTAGTTAAACCAAAAGGCATGACTAACCACTCATACAATCCATGTTTTGCCTTAAAGGCTGTTATCCATTCATCTCCCTCTTTCATGCGAATTTTATGATACCCACTTTTCAAATCAATTTTCAAAAATACACAAGCACCACGCCACTCATCTAACATGTCATCTAAGCGAGGAATAGGATATCGATACTTTACTGTAATGCTGTTGATGGCTCAGCAATCAATGCACATCCTCCAAGTCCCATCCTTCTTAGGCACAAGTAAAACAGGAACAGCACATGGGCTCATGCTTTCCCCTCACATACCCTTCTCCATTAATTCACTTACCTGCCTCTGAAGCTCCTTTGTCTCCTCAGGGTTGCTCCAAGAAGCTGGTTGGTTTGGAATTGTCACACCAGGTACAAAATTAATTTGATGTTCAATCCCTCGTATTGGAGGTAATCCAGGTGGCGTTTCTTCAAGAAATACATCCTCGTAATCCTGCAAAAGAGAAATAACACTACTTGGCAAATTTCCGGCAAGATCATCATTGCACAAAAAAGCCTCCTTGTACAAAAGTACTATATAAAGGGCTGTTGTAAATGTAAAGCTCTCTTGATCTCACTTTTTTTTGCAATGAAACAGAAACAATGTTGTTCCTCTTAAAGCTGAATCTGATTTCTTTTTCTCTCTCAATTTTTTTGGCCTCTCTCTTTTTCTCTCGAATTTCCTGATGGGAATCAAGACGACAGCATATCTACTATGTCATATGATCCATTACACACCCAAGGAGGTCCAGTCACGCGAGCTAGAGCTAAGAAGATGCGTGAAGCTTTAAATGGCCTTATTGACCAGATCTGGGTTGAAAACAACATACAACAAGCAAATCAAAGCTTGGATGATTATCAAGGCATGGTAAACATCATTCAGGTTCAAGAGAAGCTTAGTTGAGGTCATTTGCACGGAATTACACAGTTTGCGTCAAAATGGCACAATTCTACCGCAATTTGTACCAAACTGATATTTCATGTTATTTTAGGTTATTTTTAGTGATTTTCACGTTTTTTGTATTATTTTTGGGCTGAACATTTGCTTATTTGAATCCCAATTCGTGGTTATTAGGTTTAGTACTTAGGGTGTTAATTTCCTATTCTGATTAGGATTTGTTTTCTCTATTTAAAAGGCTTGTAACTCTAATGGGGAGGAGGCTATTGAATCTGAGATTTTGAGAGACTTTTCTCTTTGGTTCGTTTTCATAACTTTACAGAACTTATCCAGATTATTCTTGTGGCGTTCTAACCTGACTTATCATTCTCATTCTTAATCATTCAAGGGTGTGGCGTCAACCAACTTTATACCTCTGGTTCTTGTTGTGTCATAGACAACGGGTCAAGGTTTTTACCTTTGGTTCTTGTTGCGACATAAACAACGGGTCAAGGTCCTATTATAAATCTGTTACCTGTCCTAGAGTTTAGAAATCCCTTGTTATGCTGTGGGTCTCATTGTTCTCTTTGGGGTTCTCATCATTTCCACTTCTATCTTTTCTCTCACTCTTCCTTTTTTGCTCATTCTCTTCTTTTTTATCTCTCTCTTTTTTAAGCCTCAATTGACCCCATACACCTGTTGTGGTGTCAAAGGTACAAGAATAATTGGATGTTGATTGAGTACAAAAGAGTATTTGTTGGTAAACCCATCATGCTTGACTTGTTGATCAAACTGCCATGGTTGCCCTAACAACAAGTGCCCAGCATGCATTGGAATGACTTTGCAAAGTACCTCATCTTCATATTTTCTGATCCAAAATGCAACTAACACCTGTTTGTTTACCTTTACCTCAGTGCTATCATTGAAGCATTGCAACTTGTACGTAGTAGGGTGTCTTAGGGCCTGTTTGGTACAGCGGTTAAAATTCAGCGGATAGCAAGTAGCGGATAGTGGATAGCTGTAGCGGGTAGCGGGTGGCAGTTAGCGAATAGCGGATGGCGGATAGTGGAAAGTGGGTAGCGGATGATAAATAGTGGATTCGATAAATATAACTGTTTGGCTATACAATGGTTAGCGGTTGTTATTTAACATTAAATGACTAATAAGGACATGTTTAAAAACAAATAAGTATATTTTTTAAAATATT